TTGAATTGGGCCTCCTGCCCAGCAGAAGGTGTTTATTCTTTATATTTAAGATAACTAGAAACAGTGGGGCCCAGGAGAATTGAGGAGATATCCACCAGATTAGAACAGTAACATCTAGGGATCTTCATGAGTATGCATTCTATAAGAATCTGGCCAGACACACGCTATTAGAAATTTTGTTTTTCTGTGCTCTTTAAGTCAAGATGTGATCTAGATATAGAGCCATGAACAACGGCTAACAAAACACTGTATGAGAAAAGGCCAGCTAGGAAATGAGAGCACTTGATAACTGGCTTCAGGCCATTCATCCTGGATCTCTAAGATCAGGGTATGTGACAAGATTTTTGAAGTCATTTCAAGTCCAAACATTGTGTGATTCTTAGTCCTCCTTTTGCTATGAGACTCATTATATAAGGTTTCCTTTGTTCTGGCAATGGAAGAAGTATAGTATGTTACAGAGGTTCTAAATTTGCCCCTAAATGTCAGATACCGTGGGATGGTGTTCCCGGTTCAGCCACTCATCCACTGAGTGACCTCAGACAAGCAGCTGAACTTTTCATTTTGTTCATTCATTGTATCCGTAAATTGGGAATAACAATACTTACCTCAGAGTTGCTGTGTAGATTAAGATTGCTGTTATTCTAGGAGATTTGATTCCTTAATTCTGTTTTGCTTAAGCTAAGTTCTCTGTGACTGGGCATGCCTCAAGCACAGGCCAGTTGCTCCATGTAAAAGGAGGCAAAAACATGGACCATGGTCTGGAATTGAAGAATTCTGTTGCTGTTTTGAAATTATGATCTTTGTCTTTCACTCTTAGGCCACACTGAAGCACCATTTTCCAGGAAAACCAGCCACGTGTCCCTTCATCTTTTTGGACTCAGTTGTGTTTCAGAATCCATCTAGGTTCTGAGGTTCCTCCCCCACAAACACACACACAGTCCCCCTTTCTCTTCCTTGCCTCACTTTCCTTCTTAGCGTTTATACTGTGAAACATACAAAGTAATTTTTACTTCTTTAACTTGATAGTTGTTTCCTCTACAATGTGATGCCTCATTAGGGCCAGAAACTTTGTTTTGGACTTTGCTTGGTCCCTAGCACCTAGAACAGTGCTTGGTATCTTACAGGTACTCAATAAGTATTTTTTGAATACAATAAAGTCTGGTGTGTATATATTTACCAATTTCTCCCTGATTGCTCTTAATTTTACTCATACTATGTTGGGAGAAGACTAGGCAATAGTGCATGAAGAAAATGAACCAAGCCCATTCCATGTCACCTTAGGGCCTTTGCATTTACCGTTCCTGCTGCCTGGACTCCTTTTTCTCCAGATGGCGTATGTCTCTTTCCCTTACTTTGCTGAAAGTCTTTCTAAGAGAGCCCTTCTCAGAGCCCCTATCTAAAATAGCATATCCACCAACTTCCAGACCTGCCAGATCAGCACTGTCTGTAACCCTTCTTGGATGATTTTTTCCTGTACTACTAATCCCATCTAATTTACTTATATTTACTTCTTTATTTATTGATGTCTCTTTTCCTTCACCATGATGACAGAGACTAAGCCTATTTTATTTTCTACTAGTACTTAGAATAATGCCTGATACTCAATATATATCTGTTGAATAAATTAATACACCTGTCATAACATGAAAAAAGATAGCAGCATTTATATTTTCTTTAAAAAATAATTTACCCCTTATTATCAAGGTGAGTCATGCTCATTCAATACAATTATTATTAAAATAAATGAGAAACATCCAAATTCTTATTATATAAATAGAGTCACACAATAGGTAATTTGACAGTGTTTTCTTTATAGACTTTCATATTTAGCTACTATGCCCTATTTTTTCTTTTTATTCAGTTATAGGCAAGTTGTAGATATAGTTTTGCATGTCGCTTTCTTCCCTCACTACAGATTATTGTATTATAGGCTTTGCCCACATTGCCTTTAAAATCAAGATGGTGGGGCACCTGGGTGGCTCAGTCGTTAAGCGTCTGCCTTTGGCTCAGGTCATGATTCCAGGGTCCTGGGATCGAGCCCCACATCAGGCTCTCTGCTCAGCAGGAAGCCTGCCTCTCCCTCTCCACTCCCCCTGCTTATGTTCCCTCTCTTGCTGTGTCTCTCTCTGTCAAATAAATAAAATCTTTTAAAAAAATAAAAAAATAAATAAAATCAAGATGGTGTGTTGTCAATGCGATCTTACAGCACAGTTCAAAAATTCTTTATTTTTTCTGGTCTTCTCTGCCATTCATTCCTTTCTTGAATTTAAATTCTTTTTTTATCCCTAAACTACATGGAAAAGAGGAGGTAGGTATATAGTTCTAGACTGAGAAAGAGGGATTTCCTTCTTTTTCTTTACCAGAAACTTCTCCCTACAGCATCCACCCCCTTCACAGGGCAACATTCATCCTTGGGGTTTCAGGCTTCATGGCTTCCTTGAATCTTTTTCAGATGAGAGAGAGTAGCCCACGTGCATGCTCCCCCTTCAACAAATAGCACTGCAATTAATTAGCTACCTGCTTGCTTCTCTTCCTTTCCAGATTGTAAACTTCCTAATGGCAATGATGATAGTCATGTCTTATGCATCGTTATATGCTCAATGCTTACCACAGGGCTTGGGTGGTGATACTCAGAGGATTTTTCTTGAATGAATGAAAGACCATCATGGACGTGTATGATCTCATTATCTTGACCTGTACTTCTTTGAAGTGCTTTCCTCCTCTAAATGTCTAATTTTACTCTTAAAACCCATTGTACTGCATGTTTGTCTTGCCCTTTTGACCAGGAGCTTGTTGAGGATAAAGAGGATAATCATGCCTCTTTGGTGCTGAGGACAGTGCCTGGTTTGTAAAATGTAGTCAGCCAATGGTGTGGAAAGGTATCCAGAAATCATAAGGAGCATAAGCTCTTCTTCCTCCTCCTCCTCATTGTCAAAATCACTGTATGTTTTATGGCTCTGGATATACAAACAGGAGTAGCAGCATGTCCCTGCCCTGATGGAGATTATGCATTTCGTTTTAGAAAGAAAAGGGTAACAATGAAAAAGATAAATGACAAGCTAAGTGCTAGGTTCAAGATGCAGAACTGCAAATTCTCTAGGAAGAACAGATGATGAATTTGGTTGGAAGCAGCTTCTTGGGATTTGACTAATGTGTAGGACTTGGCCAAAGGGATGGGGCATGGTGGAAGCTGAGGTGGTGAGGCCCAGGGCCCAGAGCTGAGCTCTCGAGGCAGCCTGGATCTGCGTGTGGCTTTGTGCCCATCAGGCAGGGGGCAAGCAGTTTGGGGTCCGGTTAAACTTAGGAGAGGCTTGGGAACTCTGCTGGGGAGTGCTTCAGCTCAGGGTGAAGCAACGGGAGGAGAAATGGACTCTGAGGGGATGGGTGAGTAGTTGGAAGGGAGGACAGGGTCACCGTAACTGCCTTCATTCCCTTAACTGGTGGGAGTGCCGTGCAGTAGGGCAGAGCCTAAAGTGAGGAAGGCAAGTGTCTCCGGGGGCCCCTGTGGGGTGCACCCCCTATGGAGGTATCTGAGCCATCTGAGCAGAGGCACGGAAGCAAAGGAACTGTTTGGGGGGATCCAGGCACTGGAAACTGTGTTGAGGCCCCGTTTTCTCCCACGAGACCCAGGGGGCATGGGCAGTAAACAGGATGCTCTTTGGGGACAGGGCTGGTCTCCTCTGCTTTCTATTGCCTGCTCTGGGCCTGGGGAGGCTCTTGCTATTCAAATGTGCTTTCCCGTTTCAGGTGGCACACATGTAAGTTATACTTGCTTATTCAGAGAAACATTAACTCCTCACTTAACTCTGAAATTCCCTTGTGCTGGAATCTTTCTCCCATCCCCGCACACGGCCCCAGTGAAGTCTTCCATTGTCTTGGTACTTTTCAGAGTTTCTCTAAACTTGCTACTTCTTTTCATCCTCTTGTCTTGCAAGTGAGACCTAGTTTATCACCTTCTCCCTTTCCTTCCAGTGATTTATGGCACCAGCATGCCAATCTTCCTCTTGTCTTCACCCTCTCTATCCCCTAACTCTCTTTCCTCAATGGAGGAAAACCAATTTTAAAACCAAAACATGACCTAAATGGACAATTGGATTTTGCCAGCACTTGTGTATTCCCAGAGTATATTTGCAGGTACAGAGTATTTTTCATGTTCTTCCATACCTGTGGGTTTGGAATTTATTTATTCTAGAGAGAGAGAGAATACAAGTGAGTGGAGGGGCAGAGGGAGAGGGAGAAGCAGGCTCCCCGATGAGCAGGGAGCTGGAGGCAGGGCTCCATCCCAGGACCCTGAGATCATGACCTGAGCTGAAATCAAGAGTTGGACACTTAACTGACTGAGCCACCCAGGCACCCTCATACAAGAAATGTTTTTTGAGTATCTGTAATGTATTAGACATAGATCCTGGCTATACAAAGCCTGCCAGGGTCATGTTGGATGAGTTACAAAGAAAAAGTCTTGGAAGAAGAACATGGTGTAACTCGGTTAGAAAATATTCCCATTATACCTGTCATCTAAATAGCAGTAGGAGAGGCTATGAGAATCTGTTTGCAAACTCAAGCCATTTGGGGCCCTGAATAATAATAATAACAATAAGAACATGTACATCTTTCTTTCTAGAGATTGTCATAATAATTCTTTAGGGGAAGAGTGTTATCATGCTCTTTCCTCCTGGGGGCAACTAGCTTAAGGTGACAGTAAGTGGTAAAATCTGAAATAAAGTCCAAGTTCTAAATTTACTCTGGTTGTTGGTGAGTTTCTAACTCCTTTGTTAAAGTCTCTGACCTCAGCCCTTGGACAGGGGTGGAAAATCAACAATGATAAGAAACAACAACAACAATAATAGGATAATGGCATTCAGTTTGGCCCGTGGATAGAACAAGATCATAGGAATGGTTTTATAAAAGTGATTCATAGTGTGTTTGTGCTAGTGTAATCCCAAACACTTCAGTTATTTCTAATTTTTTTCTCTTCCCCCCCCCTTTTTTTTTTCCTAAAGAAAAGAAGATGGTTCTTCCTGACTAGAGGACAGCTGGAAAAATCTGAGCTTCATCTGCTTTTTCTAATAGTCCCAGGATCTGGGTAAGGGCTACTGTGCCAGCCCTATGAAAACAAGGCTGTGCTCTCAGGGCAGGTGGAGGTGACGAGCACTTGTCAAAGAGGGACGTGGTCATCAGGCTTCAGAATCTGATTTCATTCTCTTGGGCCATGTAGTCCTACGGAACCTCAACGCCACAGGGGACAAATGGAGTCTTATTAATCTCATAAATGTTCTGGCTCAGTTTCTCCCTGTTCTTTATTTTTTTAAAGATTTTATTTATTTATTTGAGAGGAGAGAATGAGAGACAGAGACCACGAGAGGGAAGAGGGCAGAGGGAGAAGCAGACCCCCTCCTGAGCAGGGAGCCCGATGTGGGACTCTATCCGGGACTCCGGGATCATGACCTGAGCCGAAGGCAGTCGCTTAACCAACTGAGCCACCCAGGCGCCCTTCTCCCTGTTCTTTATCAAACTTTGAGAACCTACTCTGTTCCAGGCCTCTGTCTAGGCTCTGGGGAATACAAAGAGGATTTGGACCGACTGACCTTCTTCTCCAGGTTCTTATGGTCTAACATTCTGTGACTCTATTCCACATGCTTCTGTACCTGAGTATTTCTGGAATGCCATGACTGGCTTTTCTGATGAGAATCTCTCTAGGAATGGGTCTAGCTGCTCTGTTTCCCTTCAAATGAAATAACTGTATCTTGTTAAAATGTATTATTCCAGGGACATCTGCAATCAGCCAAGGCTATAGTTAGACATGTGAAGTTTATTTATTTATTTAAATAGATTTAATTTTTTCAAAGCAGTTCTGAGCAAAATATATAGGTATTGAGATTTCCTATATACCCCCTCCTCCCACACATGCGTAGCCTCCCCCATTATCTGCACACCCCACCAGAGTGTACAGTTGTTACAACTGATGAGCCTACACTGACACATCATTTTCCAGAGTCCATAGTGTACATTAGGGCTCCCTCTTGGCTCCCTCTTGGTGCTGTACGTGCTGTGGTTTGGACAAGTGGATAATGACATGTATCTGCAATTATAGTATCATATAGAGTATTTTCATTGCCTTAAAGATCCTCTGTGCTCTGCCTCTTCACCCCTTCCTCCCCCTCTAGACCCTGTGTGAATTTATTTTTCTTTGTCTGCAATAACTCTCAAATATCAGACTTTCTGATTTTTTGTTTTGTTTTACTCCCTCCCCCTCCCTTTTCACATAAAGGACATTGGGGAATCAGCCACTAGAAATGAGAGGGAGAACATACCTACTCTGATCCTATCCCTGAAATTACCATTTCCCCCCTACTGTAGCTCATCCGCCTGAAACTCCATGACTAATAAAGATTCCAGACGAACTGGTTGTGCCATCCTTCAGGGCACTGGTGGATGTCTTCCTGATACCACATTCTTAGACGCCCTTTGCCCCAAGGCTTCTCTGAATCCAGTTTCTGTTATGCATTTAGATGTGAAAAATAAGAATTTACTCCTAATGCCCTTGGCACTTCAGGAGAGCAGAAGAATTCCTCTCACAGAAACTGATAATGTCCTGTCGGGGACAGAATACTGGGGAGTCATATTTTATAGTCAGATTTTAATCCCAGCCCTTCTATCTGTGCTGGGTAGATGACAGGGATTATAGTATCAACTCTTTATTGATTACTAAATTCTCAGTACTTACTGTATCCAGGCACTGTCCTAATCTTCACCACAGTAGGAGGTAGATATTATTATTCCCATGTTGCATCTGGGAAAACTGAGGCATGGAGATGTTAAGGAATTAGCTTAGGGGCAGTGTTGGGATTGGAACCTAGACACTCTCATCTCATCTTTCTTGACCTCGGTTTCTTTCTCATTGAAGTGAAGGTATTGGGCCATATAATCTCTAAATTTATTTCTATTCTAAAACTCTGAGTCTCCTAGACTTTACAGATGGGAACCGCACTGTGACAATTGCAGGCTGCTTCGTTTCATGTAGTAATCGTGAGAAGTACAGGTGAGTGCCCTGATGAGCTGGTTCTATCAAGAATGTGAGAGCTTTCCCTGCTGACTCCCAGTTTTATTTTTGGTTTTGTTTTTTAGGGCATGAAGGTGGCATCAATTGAGACACAGGGGCCAATATCTGTTTGTTAAAGGGAAGCAGGAATTGACCCATTTTTCTGACCTCTAACGAAGCAGTATCACGCCCTAAAGATATTCAGTAAACTTGGAATAACACCCACCCCACAGGGCTGTTGTGAGACTCAAATAAGATAATGCTTGGGAACTGTTCTGAAACTTCAAGTTCTGTATAAATGCAAGGAATTATCAGTATCATCTTATAACACTGATTCCCAGTGCAGAAGCTGGGGGACCAGTTTTTCCATTTGATTTCTGTGCAAATTGCATTTAGGAAGTCTGAACAGACATCCTGCTTGCCCACATGAGTGCCTGTGCTAATTTCAAGGACAAGACACCTCCAGCTTGGCTCTAGCTTTTCTGGGGTCAAGACAACAGCTTCCGCTAACAAACCTCTAAGACGTTGGGTCATGAGCAGAGTTTCCGGGTGCACCATGCCACTACATTTCCCATTATATTTCCCTAACTAGTTAGAAGTAACAAGTGGGGGTAGGGTAAAAATGCTTCCAGTTTCACTTAAAATGCTGCTTGAATTATGGTTTTAAAATTCTGCTTGACACCACATCAAAAACTAATGATGTAATGGATGGTGATTAACATAACAATACAAATAAAAAATAAACCATATAATTCAGAAAAAAAAAATTCTCCTTGATTCCAGGCTTCTCATTCTCATCCTTATCATCCATCTTTGGTTTCTTGCATGGAAAACAGAATTCATTCCTGAACTTCCTGGGCTCTTTTTTGTGGTTTCCCACATGTTTGGACTTGTGTTGCACACAATTTTCTTGCTTGGGGGTACCCATCGCTGGATCACACAGAATGGCTGTCCCAGGATGGCTCACTGAATTGAGAACAGAGAATACCTACTTAATTTCTTGATTTCTTGGCTTATTTGTTCAATGAGTATTTGTTTTATTCAGCTCCCGTACTCTTCCCAAGGGCAAAGAAATATCACATGTGGGCCCAGCTCTATAACTGGCCCAGAAGAGTAAAACGTAACCACAGAAGTTTCACACAAGAAAACACCTGGAGTGACCAGTGGAACGAGACTCTCAGTATTTTCCATGCAGATGAACCAATAGCAGAAGTGATGAACCAATAGCAGAAGTGATGTTAGTAATCTCTGTATCATTCAACATCAAATATAGTTGTGGATGGTGGAGAAGGGGGGACAGTAGAAGGACTAGGGGGAGTCTAAGAGGGAATGTATCCAGAGAGCTACTAGAAAGATCAGGGAAGTTCTTAAGGAAAGAGGGAGAGGTGGGCCAGGCTTTTGAGGACTATGATTTGGAAACAGTATACACCGAGGTTCCTTGGTGGCTTAGAGGAAACAGAAGTTGTTCTTGTCATTGATATTAACTGCGCACACAAGGCCAACTGGATGAGGCACCTTAGTCATAATCACAAGGTCCTGGAAGGCAAAAAACCTGCCTGGATCTCCTTTCAGAAACTTTCCCGTCATTAGCTTCAGTGGATTCTTGCTGTGTCTTTTTAAAAAATATATTTTTATGGGTTACACAATCAAATATTTTTCTGTCTTAAGCAAGAGAATGTGCAAGCTTACATGTCTGCAGTAGTACTTTCTAGCTAAACATAAAGAATGAAGATGAACAAGATATTTACTGTTATATGGAAGGGCTGCTTTTCATGGAAGCAAAGAGTAGAATGAGTTGAGAATGTATCATTGGAGAGGAAGCATTTTCCTCTACCTTTCAAGACTCTTTTGGTGGTCTAAAAATTAAATTGACCTGAGACAGATTAACAGGAGAAAATCAAATTTAATTACAGAACATAGAGGGGCTCTATGAGAATATGAGGCCCCCAGGCAGTCAGGCAATTGAGGCTTATATGACCATCCAGAGTTAAAGAGAAGGGGATAGGAGTCTGGGACTTCAATGGAAGGAAGACAGTTCACAGGAAGATGAAAAAATGCTCCGTAAACAAATGTTTGTTGGGCTATGCAGAAACAATGGGGCATAGAGAGGAATTTTAACAGAGATTTTGCTAAATTCCTCCCTGTCTACCACACCTTATTCATATTTTACTATAGCTATCTATGGTGATAACTCCTTACCTGGGGCAAATCCTCTAAAATTTTTTAGGTAGTCAGGGGAGAGGAAAAAAGAAAACCTTTTTGAGCCTTTTGTTTATTACTTTAAAGTAATAATCAGCCTGAAAAAATGCAATGCCAAAGAGACATATATTGGGGTGGCAAGTTTTGCTTCCCTATAGTATTGATCTTGGTACTTGGAAATGAATGAGACTTTTCCTTGACTTTCCCACTGCTCCATTTAATACCAGTTCCAGGAGCTGGTATAAAATAATTAGAAAATGTGCTTCTCTGTTTTTCCTCATAAGCGATGGTGAGAAAAATGCCATTCATGAGACATTATGCGTTTCAAACAGAAAGGATAAGGATTTGGATGCCTCCTAGTATTTCCAGAGAAACTTATTCTTGATGAGTTGACTGAAGCTCTTCAGAAGTTATTGTTCATTCAGTCTAGAGTGATTAGATGTGGGAAGGCCTTGGCTCTGCAGGCCTTGGCTCTTCGTCATGGCGTTGCACTAACTAGCTGTGACCTAGCAAGTCACTTACCATTTTGTATTTCTATTTCTTTGGCTAGCGCTCAATATGTAACTATTTATGGAGGCAGCCATGTGCTGGGCACTCACTTGTAGAATGACATTAATAATATGAACTCTGGCAATCTCTCAGAACTGGTGTTGAGTAAATTTGGATTTGAAAGTCCTTTGAAACATTTATAAACCTCATGCGTCTCAGAACAAAAGGCTGCAAATCAAAGAAAGAAATTCTTGACTCATTTAAGACAAGACTTTTAATAACAAAGCCTTTCACTAAATAAATAACTAAGTGAAGCAAGACCAAATTGGAGAGGGTCATCACAGCAAGCCTGACTT